GGTCAGGCTACCCCCACGGGCCACACCCGGCAGGTCACCCCCAGGGGTCCCCCCGGCAGGTCCCCCTCATGAATCCCACCCGGCAGGTCACCCCCACGGGTCCCCCCGGCACGTCACCCCCACGGGTCCCCCCCACGGGCCCCATCTCGGAACGCTGCTGCAGGAAGACTCGGCAGCTGACAGACGGGGCCGCCCCGGGTGAAGCCCCGCAGCCGGCGCTGGGCCCTGCGCACCTGTGGCTCTCCTGCAGCATCTGGGTGAGCTCCTGGATCCTGTCGTAGTGGCTGAGGTGCTGCTTCAACTCCGCGATCTCGCCAGACAGACTCTTCACACTCGTCTGCAGTCCTGAGCGGGAGACGGGCAGGGTTCAGTGAACGCCGGACAGGAAGATGAGACCCACGCAGAGCTCACCCGGGGCGTGGACGAGAACACTGAGTCTGAGGAGGGTCAGTTCTCACCGAGCTCTCAGAAAACGGGTGAACACAGACCTCTGGGCCCCAAGGACCTTCCAGATCACCCCAAAGCCCAGGCCACGACCAGGCCACGGTTGCTGCCTGTGGGTTGGGGAGGCCCGAGAGGTGCCTGGTACCACTGAGCTTCCTTTACTGCCCGTGGGGAGGGGGGCTTCAGGCCACAGCCACCTGCACCCTCTCTCCACTCTCCTCAGACCAAGCCTGCACTCCCTCTCCAGCACCCTGACTCTCCCATGAGGAAGGAGATCCCACACCCGACTGCAGACAGACACACTCACTGTTAACATGTCCCTGCGGAAGCACCTGCCGGGGCAGAGACATGGTCAGGGCAGTGCCTGCTGAGTGGGGCGCAGGGCACTGAGGGTAACACACTGCTCAGAGCCCCACAGACGCCCCCACTCAAGGCTGTGCGTGAAGGGGCTCTGGAAGGAGGGCAGTGCGGTTTTGGAATCTCCCAGAAGCCCCATGGTACAGAATGCTCAGAGTAACCAGGGAGCCAAATCCCACAGCCAGTGTTGACAGCCAGCCTGCTGACAAGCTATCCTCACAAACCCCAAGTTCCTGAGGTGAGATGGGTCCCCAGTGCCTCAAGCCATGCACGACCCCACCTGAGGGTGAAGCTAAGTTCATGGAA